TTGTACGCCGAACACAAACGAAATTCTGAAATCGAATAGATCGACAACCCATTTTTTTTAAACGTCTTGGGTTTTTCACCTACCATCAAGTGAAGTGCTTGTTTGTCCTCTTCTGTCGTAAAGGAAATTATTTTAAATTATTTTCTTATTTGGCTTTAACATTTGCTTAAATTCCAACGCTAGTCTAAAAAGAGCATGCTACACATCTTTATGTATACGTTGAACCTGAGTGTTTACTGGAAGACTTTAATCCTTTTTGAGATCTTAAGCAGCTCGCCTCGAGAATACTTGCGCTCGCAGTTTTAATAATCCATCGTAAGTTAACTTTTTCTGAAGCTCTTTTACAGTGGACCTAAAAAGTCTTTACGAAGTCTTTTGTGTAGGAAGATAACCGATAATGTCTTTGAAGCCTAAAATGATATAGTATTACCTATTTATGTATGTAAATAAAATGTGCAAAGGATGTAAAATTTACGTAAAAGTAATTTTTACTCTTTTTGTATTTAATTTAGTCGAATAAGAAAGCTTATTTAAGTATTAATAAGCCTTTCAAATAATTATTTACTACAATCTATAATTTATTATCTATTAAATACTGTCTATAGTTTACGCGAGTAGTACACATTTAAATAAAACACTTTAACAGTTTAAAACGCGATCTATATCGCGAAATATATCGATATTAGTGACCACGGCTGCTGCAAAGCATCCGAAACGTCGGGCCGAAGTTAAAAATCATTTTCAAATAAGTTTAAATGATATATCGCCTTTTAAACCGTTAAAGTGTTTTGTTTAAATTTATTATCTGTTTTTAAACGGTTAGTTAATAGGCAGTTTCTTGGTGTAATAGCAGTCTTGTATATAAAACAAATAATGAGTTTGATTCCCAACGAGTGCAATATTTTTAAACCTCGCCTGGAAATGTCGCTTTTTAATTGGTGGTAGAAATCGAAATTCCATCTGGGTCACGTTCAACCCAAATATGAGAAAAAACAGTCTATGGATTCCACGAATATTCCGAGCTAAAATAGGTCAACAGTGTCTATTTTAAATAATTGTTTTTGAGTTTAAGTAAAGTATTGTGCCCGGTTCATCAAAGCTACGATGACGATAATGTTTTAATTTTTCCCTGGGACTTGAACTCAGGACCACACCTAACGCAATGCTAGACGTTTAGCTATTAAGCCACGAAGACAAGTTAAGTTACTCGTCCATAAGTCTATTTCTAGCGCATAAAATACTTTGTCGCGCCCTGCTCGATATGTAGCCTCGAGATCATAAAGTCAATACACTGTCGTATGATAGGAAGCCCGTTAGGTCGTGCTATGCAGACACTGTGCTGTGACTTGAATGCTTATGCCAAGTGTTTTAGCACGCCTGTCTCACTATTGACAATATAGACGCCGCGGTACGTGGGAGGAATGAATTTATCTAGATATCAAGGCGGCGTATGTAAAATGTTGATTGGTTATTTTGCTATTGCAAAAATAAATCGTTATAATTTGCTGGAGAAACAGACACTAGTATGGACACCAAGATAAAGCAAACGCAGTAGGATGCTCAGTAGTATCATGGACTGACGACCTGAAGAAAGTAGCGGGCAGAGCTGAAGAATTTGTGTGCTCGAATATACTGTCAGGAACTATTTATTCGAATTAAAATATTTTCGTGCTGGATAGACCCTTTATAGAGCTTGTATCATTTACAAGTAGGAATAAACTTACTTTGGCTTAAGTCATATATCATTCCCGTTGGTATATTAAATGGATTGATCCCACACTAGAACTAAAAAAGATAAGATTCAAAAAAGGACAGCCATTCTTGTCCGCTTGTGTCGTCCGCTCCTAGGCCTAAATTTGTGATTCATTTCGTAATATAATAAACACAATATCACCTTTTAGAGAACGGCCCTCCGTACTGAAACTAATAAAGATTAGATTAACCGTAGCTATTTAATTACAGACTGTAATTAAACAGAAATTAACGTGAAATAACTCTCGCAGAGCATAATGTTGTGTACTGTGTTAGTTTTGGTTCTGACGAAATGTTCTCTCGCGGCTGTCAACTGTAGGGTGAAGTATTTTAATTGTTATTATGTTTGTATAATCTAAGACTAAATTGCTCGATTATTTTGGAAATAAATTTACAACAGTTATTTACTAAACCATAAATAGGGCGACAGCGCATCTTCTTTGTAAATATATTAGTTATTCAATAAATTTTTGGTACAAAATATGGTTGAAATATTATGTACAGTATAACTGATACTGTACATAATATTTCAAATTGTGGATTTTTACCGTTAATTAATGTTATGTCCTCCCCGCTCTGAACAATTTATTGTGTTCCCCGGGACTCAAATCTAGGACTTATAGTGTGAATTGAACTGACAAAGAGCTAAGCACACAGTGAATTGCTCAATCTTTGAATACTCTTGGTAACAATTAGGAATAATATAAATATTATATTTCTGAAAGAGATTTATTTTTGTAGGAAGAAAATGAGTTTTCCGCAATCCATTTTCATGCAAATGCATTTGATAAAGGAATTCATAAATAAATTACTTGCTGTCGATCAGCGCTGATTACAATTACATCAATACGCGATATATACAGAATGTTTTAAAATACATTAAAAAGCAAATTAGGGCAAATTTTGGAATTCTAATGAAATGAAAATCTATCTTATCTAGGAATTTTAAGGAAAATAATATTTAAGTAATAGTATTAAAATCTTATTTGCTTTGTTAGTCTTTGTATTTTTGACAATTATATATTTTTGTTCATGTTGCCAAAATTCCTTACGCCATTTATAAAACCATTTTTAGTTTTTAATTCAATTACCCAGTTCATTTATTTTATTGACCACAAGAAGTAACAATAAAAACTAAATTGGCACTAACATAGTAAAGTTACTAGTAAGATAAATATCCGATTGTACATATAGACGAGTAGTTGATTAGACTTGTAGTGTATAACAGTTAGAAACGTAAAATTGTACAGGCATTTATCCTTACACCGTACGTTGTGCCCAGCCCGAAACTTTTCATTATTTCTACGGGATTCGAACACAGAACGTCACGCGCTTAACGCAAAGCTATGCAGCAGGTTAGACATATTATGTATACCGAGGAAATTGCTAGTATTGTATAATCCAATATTGAATCATTAGAGTACCGGATACAATTTAGATAATCAAAATAGATATTAAATATTCATTGCCTTTTCGATCACATTTAACTATTTTCCTGTCCAGCAACGACCCGCGCCCAAAATAACTCATCCTGTATAAACTACTTATTCCGTGTTAAAATTCAGAATGTTTCGAGTTTCAACACTCACGAGTCGCAATTTAGAGCGCATTTATTTCGAAAGCAGAACTGTTTTAATAACTGCCCGCTTTTTGGTTCCGTATGAAATAATACAAGCGTATTTACGAAATTATGATACGAAATGGGATGCATTTGTGATATTTTGCCAAATTTTGTTCGTAATTAGTTTGGGGACGGGTATGAGAGTGTGCTATAATAGATATATCTTAAACACTGTGTGTAGTTTACTCTAGTAGTATTACTTTACTTATTTCTTATTTATTTTAACTATGGCCCGAAAAAATCCATTTGTTTACATATGTATAGATTTTTGTAAAAGAGGCAGTAAGATATTTTATTTACACATAATATATTCCCCGAGGTAAGTTTTGCTTGGTAGTAATTAAATAATACAGAATTATTATAATTTAATAAATTTTATAAATGTAGTATTCTGTAGGAGAAGCATTATGAAAATACAACTTTATCTAAAGCTAATTGTAAAGACGACTTATGCTTTTTTACGTCGTGAACTATTTTATACATACAACAATAGACTTATCTGTTGGTACGATGCTACGGTACTCATAAAATATCATAGATGAAATTTAACAAAAAATACATAATATCGATTTTATAACAGTGAGTTAATCCTACTTTGAAACGAGTTGTTGTTAAATATTTATTCTGAAAATATTCAATTTTAAGTCCAGTTTCAACTGAATTGAGATTTAATGCCGTTCACGAGGGTTCACGACACTTAACATGTAATTCAAACCACAAATACACCGTTTGTATGTGAAATGCGTCCATACTAAGGATAGCATTCCAGTGGCTCAGGTATCTATTGAATTTTGCTTCCATTAAATAAACTCTCTTTTAAATAAAACTACAACGATGGCTATCATAACAAATTGAAATAAGCAATAGCTAGTTGCTGTTTAAATAATGGCTAAGCATGTATTCGTTTATCCAGCAACATAAACAAACTTAAATACTGTCTATAGTTTACGCGAGTAGTACACAGGTAAATAAAACACTTTAACTTATTCTCTATTAGGTCTCTCCGTGACCATGGCTGCTGCAAAGCATCCGAAACGTCGGGCCGAAGTTAAAAATCATTTTCAAATAAGTTTAACTAATATATCGCGTTTTAAACCGTTAAAGTGTTTTATTTAAATAAACAAACTGGCTGGAGAAAAACAAGCAACGATACAGAGTGGGAGAAGATGTGGAAGGCTTTTAATTTAAATGTACCAAAAACTATGAAAAAATAAAAAATCTATGTGATTATCTATTGATGTATGTTATAAAGGCTTCTAAGGATTTTTAGTTTGATGTTTTAAAATTAATAATATCATTATTTTAATAGGAAGCTCGTAATAATTTTACATATTCGCATCAAAACGTTATGTGACGTTTCGAAAGTCTTATTCGCCTTGCACCTATTAAATTGCACTTATACCCTTTTCAAAATTGTCTTTATCCCGTTCTTGATCATTGTTAAGTCAAACGAACAGCATTTAAAAAAATATTCCTAAACGGCGACGGTTGAACAACATAGCTTTGCAATGAGGCTCTGAAAGCCTAAAACCATTTGTTATATGCCAACACATATTTGAAGAGCCTTTCACTGCATTCGCTTAGATTTAAAAAGTCCTTGCAAAAGAAACATGATTTTTTTCCAAGAATGAATGGTACGCTAGTGGTAATAAGGTAATAAGGTACTGGTAATAAGGAATAGGTGGCGCTAGTGTAGCAGATGTGACTTTGACAATAGAGACATCCCCCATTTCCAATTCCCCGTGACCATAGCTAATTATAAATAAATTAACTTATAATTCAGCGTTTTAAACCGTTAAATATATGTTGTATTATCACAGGATCGGAGCAATCACTTACGACAAGATGGCGGCTTCTGCTTCGAGATCCCGCCCTGGCAGCACCAGCCGGTGGAAGTGGACGAGCACCTTAACAAATTGAAAGATATCTGGGGCAATAGCACGGACAGGCGACAGTTTCGGAAGCCACGCCTGGCTTTAGTTAACAGGCGAGTGTATTTAATACGTTAACACTTTGCTTAAACTTGCTTTTGTTATATCACTTACTGACTTATTTAAATTTTCGATTTTTAATTAAAATAGTGCCATCTTGTGAAAGATATAAATTATAATTAAGTAATCAAATGAAGATAACTATTCCCGAGACTTCGTCTGTGTGGAGTTATTTTAGGCTCTTAAACATGAATAAGTTTCCCTCTGTTTCTTCCCTCTCATTGGTCGCAGCCTGCTGTTTTATAGCCTCAAGTTTTTCTCGACAAATTGTCTAACCAACACAAAAATACTTTTTTTAAATATGACCTAGTAGTTCCTAAGACTACGCGTTCAAACAAACAAACAAATTCTTCGCCTTTATAATATATTTATACCATTATATAATTGATTCATAATATTATATATTTTGCGTGTAATTCCAGTGAAATCAACCGGTACATGGCCACAGTTATAGCACCATTCTTGGATACATATCACAGAAACATACAAAGCGCCTATCAGCAGCTGACCAATAAGATTTTGAAGCGGATTAAAGAGGAAATTAAAGCGGCCTTGATGAAGAAACAGAAGATTTATTCTGAGTTGATAGAACTGGCGGATTCATTGAATGTACCTGGTAAATACTCTGTATTTTTATAGTCAGGGTTCGAACTAATAGCGTTTAATGAGTATCTTTGTAGATAGCAGTATCTTGGCGGGCTTGCTAGTCCTTTGGTAGCAATGTATGGCTTATAATCAAAGGGTCGTCGATTCCATCCCTACCGGATCCAGCATGTGTCAAATAACTTTTGTAATTTATCTGAAACATATCGCACTCGTCTGGAAATATAGATAATAAATGGGTGGGTGGGTGGTAGGAATTGCAAAACTTCGTTCGGGACATCGTCCGTATATGAAAAAGCCGCGAGTGAAGTTTAATCGCGTTTTCAAATATCGCAAATCAAAATAGGCCTACAGCACATCTTGTTGGGTTGTTATATGGCTTCGGTGTTGCGCCTATCATTGAATGATAGATTTTTCATTTAAATAATTTGCAATACATAATCGAGAATGCGCTAAAGATCTAAATATCGATTTGAATTCGGATATACTTACACCTTAAGCTTAGGTTATATTTAGATTTACCCAGAGTCCTTTGAAGTGCAACACACAAATTGTATGTTTACTTTTCCGGAAATAGAGTTCAAATAGAATTGTTTGTTTTGTTCGTCCGATGCACGACTGCCCGTGCAACGCATTTAAACGACACGGAAAGTGCCGAAACTGAAAAGAGTGTTGGCGTGTAAAACATTTGATTACACACCGCTCCGTTGGTGTTGGTTTGTTAATTGCGGTTTAATTGTTTTGATAATTTGGAATTGTCAAGACAAAAATGTTCGCTTTGACCAGCCAAAAATCCTCGTAAAGGAGAGTCGTCTTTTTCTAAGATTGGTACGCGAAGCAATTGAAATCAAAAAACACCGAAATTTCAATAGGGAGGACAGCCTCAAATTATCAAACACCTGGGATCCCATATTAAAAACTCTGGATCCCAATAAACAGCATAACGGTAAACGCGAAGACACCGTTAGTAAATTCTGCAAGGACCCGGCCAGTTTCGCCAAATACCAACTTCGACGGAACAGATGGCGCTAGCGTAGCAATTTTTTACTTTGACGTCAGAGACATCCTTCATCTTTAGTCTGCCCGTGACCACGGCTGCTACTAAGCATCCGAAACGTCGGGCCGAAGTTAAAATCATTTTCAAATAAGTTTAACTAATATATCGTGTTTTAAACCGTTAAAGTGTTTTATTTAAAAAATATGCCTCGTCAAGCTCATAAGCAAGAAAACCAGATGTAGAGAACGCGAACATTTTACAAAAACATCGGCTGTGTCTGTTACGTCATAACGGATTGGCAAATTTTGATAAAACCTAGTGTAATTGTAGGTTAATAAAGTTATTAACAAATTGCGAGTCTGAGATGTAAACTTCGAAAGAAACTTAATTTTTGTAATAACTTTATTTAAACTATGCTAAAATTAGGTACTTTCAAAATCTTTTTATTATGTTAGACGGACGAAAAGCATGAGATTCAATTGGTGGCAAGTTTCCTCAGCCGTATAACATCTAAACAAAATGGGTTGTCGACCTTTTTTTAATATGAAGGAGGTCAGAGCAGCACTTCACTTGATAGGTGTACTAGTCCAGCCTTATAACATCTTGGATATTCAGATTTCCAGATTAAATTCAACATGTTTCAGAAAAGTTATAAATAAAAAAAATTGAAATACGTTGGACCCGGTGGGGATCAAAGCCGTCGATGATTAGTCGAATATTCGGAAACCCACAGACTGAAACTGAATCGCGGTTAAGCCTCTCAGCTTTATCAGCTATGGACGGTTGTTTGTAATTTAATATCCAGATTACTAGACTTTAAAACACAAATCTTTAAATAATATAAATTTTTGTGGAATTCTACTTTATTATTCCCCTTCTGCAATTTCTGTGTTTCTTCCAGCTATGTGTGACGAAGAACGTCGCGCAGCTAGAACCCTCGCGAGCAAGCATGTAGCAATGACTTATCAATGTACGGAGGACGCGAGAGCATCCATTGCAAAGATGGGCAAATACGCTGAGGAGATGATCAGCATCACGAGAAACCACATGCAGAATGCAGTTGCTGACGCAACGAAGAACTTGGATAAGAATGTACCGAAGTATGTATATATAATAAAATTTACTAAAATTTAGTTATTAAAAAGAGGAAGAATAAGAGTTTGAGATAAAGAGCCCTTGACCAACTCCGTAGGAAATTGATGAAATGTATTACTAGCACTACGTTAAGTACAAGTGGTCATAGTTTCGAAACCAGAGGAAATTATAAATGCCTGCAGATAATTTTTCCGCAGGGGGAAATGGAATTTCATAAAGACTTCGATTAAGTTCGTATATATATATATTTTGACACTACAGAAAACCACTTTATGAAACATAACATAAATGATTGATTTAATTTTAGACCAACGAGCCCACCCTACTTACGTTTTAAGTTAACATTCGTAATTTATGGCTACACCCTTTGTTGTTTGTCCAGAGCGAACATAACGACGTGTCTTCGCAATATTTCACGCGCAGCGGCCTCTCTCGGCTACGAGCTGGATTTGAGCCTCACGAACGCGCGTCGGCACAACGGCCAGTCCTGTGAGAAATTGGCTAATTGCTGCTCCAGGGTTCGACGGAGTACAGACGATGACGTCACAGCATTGAAGGAATATTTCTATCAATGCGTTTATGCTTGAATAAATATTGTTCTGAGTGTTTTTATTCTACGAAAGACACCAACAAAGAACCTTTTCATTTGCTACTGAATGAATACCAAATGAGTATTTTAATAGTAAAATGTCTAACCTTAGGAAAGAAATATTAAATCAATATTTGCATTTATTATGGGTCAAACAAAGCACTGTAAACCGTTTCTCCCAAAGAATAATGCTATAAATTCCTATTAAGTTTAAAACTTACTAAACGATATCACATTAATTATAAGCAATTACATTTTTAGAAATGCAAATATTTGTATTTATAAGTAAATAATTCACTGCTATAATTCAGAATTGATTAAAATGTTTTGTGTTAGTTGGACCTTTTGCCGAGGAAGGCTTTATATAATATAGGATAAGAAGGTTGCGACCAGTAGGAGCGTAGAAACAGATGAAAATTGAGAAAACCCGAAGAAAATTATTATTTTTGAGGATTTCCATTGCTGCGACGGTTAAAATACCCAACAAATATGTTAAAAATATAATTTTAAAAATAATCACAGATATTCACATTTTAAAGATTACATCTATACTTTTATAAGACTAAATATATATAATGAGTTAATAAAAAAATAATAATATGATGCTCAAAATACCTATTCCACGCGTACGAAGTCGCGGGCACAGTTATCAGACATCGTTAAACTATAAATTTCTCTCCTCAAGTAACAAATTTTCTTACGTTTTCTTTACACATCAATATATTAAGATTTTTGATCTCACCTAAAAGCGAATTTCACATTTAATTGTGTAAAAAAATTATAACTCTTAAACCGTATTTAAGTTCTAACACTTTCTAACTAGGCCAAGTCCGTCTCTGAGCGAACCGGCACACACTTGGCGGTCTATATCGGTCACTTATACAAAGGACCCTTGTTACAAGTGTCCCTTCTAATTATGACCCATCCTGATTTTCGTTTATTCCGAGTCAGCAGAGCGAAATCGAATTATTCAAATATTTAGACAAGGAGGACCGTTAATGAATTTAAATTAGTTTCTCAGTTCGGACAGTTATGGTATTTAATCAATGGCTTTAATTTGGGAGTTGGTAATGCGGGGCTGCTCGCCTGACAAGCGCCTGGGTTCTGATACAAAGGAGTTCTTGCTGTGCCTTTTGGGGTACCGTAGAGGGAAGTGCGGATCCTTTCTTTTTTTACGATGGAGGAGGGCAGACAAGCACGGAATTCACTTCGTGGTAGGTGAGACCTATTTTGGCTTTGGATACTCAGAAAAACCGTCTGTCTGTCTGTGTGTTGTGTTTGTAGTTTACACGAGTAGTACTTTTAAATAAAACTTTAACGGTTTCAGACGTGGAATATGTGAGTTAATGTATTATTAATTTATTTTAAATGTACTTAAATACGAATAATAATAAATGTTTTCTTTAATTATTTTATGCTGTATCTCAAAAACTAGTAACCTGGGTAATCCAAACTCGCAAACTTGATTTACCTATAACGTCCAGTGCTTGCTATGCTGATATACGAAGGCAAATATAATAATCTTTTTTAGACTCAAGTATTGTTTTTGTTTGTAGTTTGACTTAAGTTTACGCGAGTAGTAAAAATTTAAATGAAAGGCTTTTTAATTTTATTGACGTAATTTACACGCGTCCCCCGTGACCATGGCTTCTTTATAGCCGAAGCGTCGGGACATAGTTAACATAAATATAAACAAGTTAAGTAGTATATTTCGCGTTTTAAACCGTTAAAAGTATTTTATTTAAATATTGACAGAATGTTTTAGGAAAGGAAGTCCTGTAGTACTGTCAGCTTTCGTTTCGTTGCAAATGCGACTATTCCAACACGATCCTACCACGTATTACCGACCCGAGAATTATAAATTAACTCTTAAGCAAAGCTTCTAGATACAAAAAAGCCTTGAGTCAGATGAAATCTCGACCTTATAGTCTTAAAGAATACAAAAGTAAAATATTCTGAAGACGGGACACGTGTATGGAAACAAGAATCGTCGAATTCATTTTTTATGTATGTTTTATATAGTCGCGGAATCTTTTTGTCGTCGTCGTCATACTATATGTTGTATTTTTCTTTTTCGGGGAGTGTGTTTATCACGTTCGCCTTCTGTTCAATGTGCTAAATGGGTTATCATTTCGAGAGAGTGGCAAAGTCTTATGATCGTTGTTCATATAAGTACTAAGAAAATCGGATAGGAAAACTGTAGATACAAGTTTATTCCAGTTACGGTCGCCTATCTTAGCTTTAATCTCAGATTCAGCCCATAATAATTTGAGAAATGTCTCTAGTCTACGCGAGCGTACCCCTTTACACGGTGTAGAACGCAAAATGTATTCTTTTATACCTATGACACGAGGTTTTTACCTACCGTTAAAAGGGGTTAGGTTGATGAATCATTAGAGTTATTGTTTTAAAAAATATTTTAAATATGCGTGTCTCTCCGTGATCATTGCTCCTGTAAAGCTTCCGAGACATAGTTAAATTAAATTGTAAATAAGTTAACTTGAATATTCCGCGTCTTAAACCGTTAAAAGTGTATATATATAAATCATTTGACTTATACTCTTTAATTTGGTAGTAAGTATAATTATAAAAATAGTATATACATATCTATTGACTTTAAAATATTTACGAATCTTAGGGGAACAGTTCATGCTTTGATTAAGTAAGAATGGTCCTACCGATCAAAATCAAATAAAATAGTCGCCTTTAAGTACTTATCTTCGTTTGCTTATGAACGTCAGTACAAAATATATATAAAAGCGTACATTTTAGATTTTACTTTTAGAACATAATAGCCACAGAAATACATCCGCCCGAATAGTTCTAACTTCGAAAGAGACGTGAAAACCTAGAACAAAATCCAGCCCCACATTTCAACAATTCATTCAAGTTTTCAAAAACAAGAATGCATTCAGCCATGTTGCTATATGAAACGTCGTAAAGCGCTTTCAGCGACCGGCGGCATTATGTATCGCGTGTAGCCAAGCGCTGACGAAGCGCCGACTGCGCTCGTTTGTCCTGCTTAATCGTTCGTGAGCTTTGAGACGAATTAAACTGGCCAGTATATCACATACGAAACAGATTTTTATATTATAAATAAACGTTACTTTGGTAAATTAGGAATAAAATTTATTTTCCTCTCAATTATGTAAAATACTCTGAAATAAAAAACAAACAGCCTTAGTGACTCACGGGTAGAAAGCACGGTCTAGGACGCCGGATTAAACCCGGCAAATTATAATAGAAAGATTTAGTCGCGTGAGGCACAAAAGGGTTATTGAAGTTATTGCCTGTAACTAAACTAGGGAACACTAGATTTCACATAGACAGTAAGAAATTTCATTTGAAAACTTTAATATTTTTCACATGTTATTGCACACGAAGGCACTATATAATTTGAAAATCGAAAAAAAATGGAAAAATTATTCGACTCGGGCAGGACTTGAATCGGCATCGTCAGCATTCCGTGCTGTTATTCTACCAATTGAGTTAAAAAATTCGACGATAAGGTGTACGACTCGGCAGCTCAAATGGTAGAGCAACAGCACGGGACGCTGACGATGCCGGTTCAAGTCCTGCCCGAGTCGAAAATTTTTTCCATTTATTTTCGATTAAAAAAAAAACATGTAATTGTTACATCCGTGCTCCTATTTTTGATTTATTAAAGATTAAATTATCACAAAATGCTTTAACTTAAATTAACATCACGCAAAATAAATGTTTGGTTAGCTCCTTTTTCACAAACCAAACAATAACATTCAATGAAAATCAAACTGGATGTCGGTTTGTACGTCGGATTATCATATTGTGAAGTGAAGTCTTGTGATTTTTGGTCTAAGCTAAGTTGTAGTGTAGCACAGTTTAAGCGTATACTCCCGAGTTTCAGGTACCAGAGACTGTTGTGTATGTGTTGTGTTTAAGAGGGAGGCGAGGTAACCAAACCCAAGTGCTGTAGTGCAACTGATTTATTTCCTATCAGTGTTGTTTTAATATAACTTACAAAAAGTGGGAAAGTAGGATGCTGACTAAGCTAACCTTATAATATTTGCTTTTAATATAAACACTTGAGTGAGCACAACGTTGACTTAGATCTAGATTGTAGATACAGTCAATTTTTACGGGCATAAATTATAATCTTGACAAAGGACAAAACGATATAGAGATGAGATTTCATTATACATATGGCTTTGTAATTATAACCTCTGGACAGCCGATCGGTTGACAAAAACCCAGCAAAACTTCAGTCATTACAAGTTAGGGGAAAGTAATTGACATAGTTAAAACTCGCTCCTGAAAATCAAGAAACGAAGTTGTTAGTGCAGCGTCTACCCGACTACTCTGTATTCAGCCGCGAGGCTTCGGTAAAAAAGTTGTCGCCGAGCTTCGATATAATTAGACCGAGCCACCTTTTCAATTGGGTTTTTGTGGGGTGGACATGGGGTTGGTGTTTTAGAGGACTTTATAATTATATTGGCCAAATAGCAGCAATATATACTTAATAATCATCTGGTCGTGGGTACGATCTTCGTCGCGTCCAACATGTTTCTGATCAATTTATATTTTTTATGAAACATGTTGGAAGTCCAATTCAACAGTCTGAACATCTGGATATTGAATGGTTGGTAGGAAGAAGTAAAGTTGTGAAGTATGCTTTTCAGTTTCAAAATCGGGATTTCCGACTATCCAAAGCCATAACAGATCGACGGCGCATCTTGTTGAGATGTTTTATAATTGGAGTATTTCGCCTTCTATCACAACATTTATAAGTGAAATTGTCTGTCCTTCTGTATCTTAAAGAAATGAAAATAACGCTGTATTCTAGTAATTTAGGTAAGATTTTGACATTTGTAATGCGTTTATATGTAATTAACATACATATACATATAAGCTTCTGTAATATGTACATGTGGTTAAAAAGGAAACCAATCAAATAAATAATTGAATAAACAAGCTGAACCGAAAAGCTGTCAAAGCATTATCAACAGTATTATTCAAACA